TACTCATGTATTTTAAAACTGTAACTTATTTTCTGTTGCTGTTGCAAAAGATAACCATGCCCTGTTGTTGTATTCAAAACCATTATCGTGACAGGGCTGGGCGGATCAGGTCACATGTTCTTGCCAGTTTCTTACAGGAGACTGGTCTCCCTGATGGGAGCAGTGGGCAGAGGAGTGGATGGCAATGGAGGAGAGTGAAGGGACGGGATCCAGCCCAGCCTGGCTCGCGTGCATACTGCTCCAGGGGAGGTGAAGCAAACACTAAGAATAGTTGTCACAGTCTCAACTGTACAGCCTGTCTGACAAGCAGGAATAAAAGGCAAACAATGTGCTGCAACACACTTGCCTTGAACATAAGTCAGTTTCTTTTTTTTTTCTCAGGATTAAGTTACAATCTTGTAATTAGGTCAAATGTTCACCTGCAAGCCTGGGGTTATTCTTTTTTCCACGATATAAGTCTTTAGCGGTCTCCTGTCAAACGAGATCACATGAGAATATGGATGGAAAACCTTTATAAACTGTAACTGCTCTGCAACTGCACAAATAGAACGGGAAATAATTACACGATCCGATATATTTATACAAAACTGACAAACCTCTTCTGACGGTATGAAAAATGTCATAATTGCACACCATGCATAACTGATATTTCTATATAAATGTATAAAGATAGCTAAGTGGATTTTTATTTTTAACACAGCTTGAAAAAAATCTAATCTAATAAGGTAGTATCATGGGGATAGGAAAGGGACAATGAGAACACAGCATATAGGATAATTTTGACCAAATCCTCCTGGTGATAAGCATTCTTTTAATACTGTGCTGTCCTTCTTACATTACCGAGGATCGCAAAGACAAAATTCTTATTTATTTCTGATTTTTTTATAGCACATGCAGTATAATCTTGCTTAAGAATTATCACTTACCTTTATACAAAAGAACTGTGCATGGTGACTCTAATGTAGAGGTAGCAGCAGAGAAATAGGTAAGAACTGGAGACAAGCAACCTGGCTTCAAACCCTGACACTGTCACTTACTAGCTGTGTGACATCAGGCAACTTACTAGCCTTCTCTGTGCCTAAGCTGTCCCTTCTGTAAAAGAGGTACTAAGTTAGCCATCTTACTGTGCTACTTTGAAGTCCAAGTGAATTGGTGCATATGAAACACTTAAGACAGTATCTGGTACATGATAAATGTTGGCTATTAACAGAGCCACTATATACCTTCCATAAGGTTATTCATTTTTTTCTTTTTTTATTTGAATGGAAGATTCTTTCACTCATATAGTGCTTTATAATTTTCAAAAGTTTCACACATATGATTTCATATAACCCCATAATAACCCGTGTTCTCCCTACCCCTATATTGTCTCTCCCCCTTTCCTCTCCCCGCTGGTAACCACTGGTTTGTTCTCTGTATCTGTGAGTCTGCTTCTTTTTTGTTTTATTCACTGGTTTGCTGTAACTTTTAGATAACTTCCTTTCTTATGGCTGAGGAGTACTCCATTGTATAATCACACACCACATCTTCTTTATCCCAAGTGACGGACACTAGGTTGCTTCCTGATCTTGGCAACTGTAAATAATGCTGCTGTGAACATTGGCGTGCACATATATTTTCAAATTAATATTTTTTTCAGCTATTATACCTAGGAGTGGAACTGCTGGGTCACATGGTAGTTTTATTTTTAGATTTTTGAGAATATTCCATACTGTTTTCCACAGTGGCTGCACCAATTTACATTCCTACCAACAGTGTAGGAGGGCTCCCTTTTCCCCACATCCTTGCCAACATTTGTTATTTGTGTGCTTTTTGACGATAGCCATTCTGACAGGTGTGAAGGTTATTAAATTTAACATAACTCTTTTTTCACATATTTTGTGGTTATAAAGTACGTGACCATTTCTAAAGCACAGGAATTATGCCATAGATAAGGTGGCTTCTTTTAGTGTGGCGAGTAGTTAAATCTATGAAAAGAAAGGGGATGCGTCATGGGGTCAGTAGGCTGCTTATGTCATGTGATCGGCGTATCTGAAAGAGACTAGCTCACTTTCTGATAATTAGCATGCCATGAAAAAAATTGCTATTTATCAATGCCCACTTTCTGTGTAACAATAGACAAGGGCAAACAACATTTCTGGAGTTCTCCAAAGAGTTTTCACTTCAAGGGCAGCTTTGGCTTTCCAGGTTTCAACAGGCGATAGCACGGCGTCTCTAACTGTAAAATTTTAATAATTAGACGTTTTGAGGGGAACTGATTTTATCAAATGCAGTTTCAGAACATTAGGTTAAAATATATGCAGATAGTTGTTTTTTGCCCCCCTCTTCTTGCTTAAAGGGTCATCCTTACCAGGCTTTTCTTGAAATCAGAAGTCACTGAACTATTTAAATATCTACCCACCAGTGAAGCCACTGTAACAGATCATCTAATGATTAAAGATATCCTTTAGATATATAAAGATAAACCTTGGTTTCACAGGGCAAACCAAGAGCTTTCTAAGCCCTGAATGCTATTGATTTTTCTTTTTTAAATATCCAGGTGAATTAGGAAGCTAGCAAGAGAGGTTTATGTAAAATGCAGGCGTAAATTCTACCCAGAATTCCCCTCAGTCCCTTCCGATCTCTGGCCTGAGTCTCCCATGCGTGTGTAGATCAACACTTGCAAGCAAGAGGGCCCTGGGCACAGATGAAATCTGTGATGATAAAGAGGAATCTAAAAGAGTGTAACATCAATTGGAGAGGTAGGAACGAACGGTGGCATGTGGCAGGCTGTGAGGATTAAGTGGGCATGCCAAGTGGGCATCACCACCCAGAGAGTCTTCCTGCCAAGGGCTGGAATGAATGCTCAAGGGTTGCTCGGGGCAGCCTTTTTTAATTTTAGGATTTACATAAGGAATGATACCCACAGTGGTGCCCAGTTGTGGGGGTTCCCAGCTGCCCAATGTTCCCTCATTGGAGGGAAGTTGGTGATTATTGTAAGAGTATCTATTGTGCACCACCTGTCCACAGCATACTAAATTTTCAGCTAATTACAACCTACTTTCTTCATACTACATCAAAGTGAATTATGATCAAACTTCTATAAACACTATTCTTTTTGAATTCCAAAATAACTCTTCCATGTAGAAAACTAAGAAAATATTACTTTTAACTGGGAGACATCAAATGATATATATATAATAAAATATATTGCTTTTTTTCCTAGATAAAGGAACTTCTCAGATTAAAAAACATTGGTAGGATTATATAAATGAAAAGTGTGTAAGTACATTATTGGGCATAAAAAAAATTCAAGGACTCTTTCTTACCTCAAGAATGGGACACATAATTTCTGCTGTGACATCACCATGATTCTTACAGAATTTATAGAATGCCTCGATGTAAGACTTAAAAAGAAGAAAAATTATAAAACAATAAAATGAATGTATTTTCCTTTTGGAAATTTCTAGATCAGCTTTCCATGGCTTATTAAGCTTCTTAATGGAAATTGAATTAACTTCTCCCATAGGGAGATATTTTATAATAAATTTGGTGCAGACTTTCACATTGAAGCATACTGCTCAGCCTAAAAAAGGAACTCCACAGAAGAACAAAATTGCACCGATCAGAGCTTATAATGACTTAACAAGCACTTTTTTTGGGTGGCTCTCGCATTGTTTCACAGGGCTAATTCCTGCTATTCTGACAAGGGTGCCAAACTTTTTTATGAGCTCAGCAAATAAAGTCTAGATTAGGTCCTATGCTGACATGTAATCTCTCCTAGTGCTCAGGAGACACGTTTGGGAGGGCACTGAGCATAGAAATATACCGGAAAAGGCAAAGTCCGGGCGGTAGAGTCAGACAGCCCGTGTTCGAATCCCAGCTCTCTGACTTGCTAGCTGACTGCTGCCATGTAAATCTTACCTCTCCATGCTTCAGGTTTCTCATCTGAGAAATGGGGATAGCACATAGTTTTGCTGAGGGGAATAAGTGAGTTAATGCCTATAAATGCTTAGAGTAGTGCCTTCTGTCAGCTCTAGCTCAGGGATGCCTCCTGTAACAACATAAGTCTCTTTATATGAAAAGGAAAGTTGCCTGAAAATGCAATGCTTTTGAGAGGATCCATGTTTCAGCATAGATGTTAAATATATGGCATAGCATATATTTTATCCTATATATTCTGTGTTCATTTAGCGTTACTTCGTGGGAGTGTTCAAAGATGCAATGGTCATATAAGTGAAAATGGACAGGTTTTGCTCAGCCCATATTGCACAGAGCTGCTCAAATGGCGGCAGTGAAGCCCAGGCAGACAGCTGACCGGATTATACAAAGTGGTGTCTATGATGTAGTGTCCACAAGCTGGTCATCTTGGTATGCTGCATGCTGTCAGCAGATTTAAATTGTATGGACGAGTAGCTTGTGAAATTCAGGGACTCTGAGGGTTGAGGACAGAGATGGATGCTACATAACACAAGGTTCACTATGGCTGCTGGTTGTGCTGAAATGGATTGATGTGGTTACCCCATTCATCCATCCAGCCACCCACCTTCTATCCATCCATCCAACTGATACCTCATATTCCAGGCACCATATAAAGAGCTAAGGATACAGGGAAGGATGGGGTCCTCTCGAGAACCTTGCCGGTTGGAGGGAAACTGACATACACGTATTTACCTGGAAGACAGACCAGGACTATGAGCTTTGTTCCAAGCACTCACAGCTCCATCATTCAGAATTTGGCTATGGGGCAAGTAACATTTGATACAGGACTCTGGTTATGATGTATTACGTAACAAAGAAGGACATAGTATTTGGGGAAGCAGTTACCTTGTACAGTTTATTGCGCAGTATTTCAATATTCAGCTCATCTAGAGTATTTTCAGACATACAGTCTTGAAAGAATGGAGCTGAAAGCAGAAATTAAAATACAACAGCAATTAACCAAAACATGATTATAAACTCTAGCAAATGTCTCTGGAATGCACCACCCTTCGCTCACCCCTACCTAGGACAGTGTGCAATGGCAAGCCACAGGCTCGATGAGGCCAACAGTAGTGGTGACAGCAGGAGAGATTACTTTGGAAGCATTTACTCTGGGCAAAGCCCTGCTAAACACTGGATGCCCTTTCACTTATTTAATCCTCACAACCTTGAACTATTCACTTTCTGGTTTACTTTTTGAAACCTCCCCTCCCTTCCTTTATCTAACAATAATATTTACCATTTGCAGTTTTACTCTTTGACAACCACTGACTTGTCTTAAAACTGTGTCTTATTTAATTTTCAAAGCTCTGTTATCGTAAGATACTCTTGTTTTTAAAATGAGGCAACTGAAGGAGAACGAATTGCTCCAAGTCACCTGGTTGGGGGCAGGCAGAGCCTGGCTTCATGCTCACGAATGTCTGCTTCCAGACTCACCCTCTTGCTGCCATGGGATGCTCTTTTAGTATCAGACACTTAATAATGATGTAATTTTTTTCTTTTTAAAAATCTGTTTTAAATGGCAACTACTTGGACGGAAGGTCAATAGTGAATTGCTATTATCCACGTTTCCTGACAATAACTGTACGAAATTATCCCATTAGTATTTTAAATGTTAATGCAGTGCCAAATTATAATGAAATTAACATTTGTTTCATCATTGCTTCAGGTCATTTGACAGACACTGCTGAGCATCTCAGAAAAAAGGGCATGCTAGACTTCCTAAATCAAAATGTCACCTATATGCAGTCGTATTTAGACAGAAATTTTAAATGAAATCATTTAAAATCCAGGTAGAAAATTAATTTTAAAAAAAATTACAAGTTCTGTAATTTATCTGCTATGATCAGGTTCAAGGGACAAAGGTTTGGAAGCTGGGAGATGAGCATGTGCTCCTCTAGGCTACAAATGGTTTGTATGCCACCCCGCGTGGTATGCTTCATTTGCCTTGGTCTGAAAAATGAGGGAGCTGGACCAGGCGATTCTTTGGTGTCCCTTCCACGTCTAGGAATCTGTATCGCATGACTGTGCTCATGGAGAAAATTGTGAACAGACAGTGCATTTTCTAATGACTGTGATCACACACACATGCAGCTGTACAACTACTTCCGCCTTCATACCTAACGGGGTTTCCACCAGGATGGCATTAAAGAGATCCGAAGGCGTCTCTGCAATGTTCACGGCTTCCATTTCTGTGAAACGGCCCAGCGGGTGGCACTTTACCAGCATTTCTTTCACAGACTTTTTCTGTAACGCCCCGTTCATCAGTAGAATCACGTTGTCGATCATGTAACTGCACCTGGTTTAGAAGAAGGCGCAATCGTTAGGAAAACACTTGTCTGAGAATAAGAGGCATTCCACGTGCGAAAAAAAAAATGCACACAGTCCAGGCACATACTCCTTCATTAAGGAAATATGTGAGTCTCCTTTTATTTTAAACTCTGGGGTCTGAGAGATGTGGGTAGGGTAAATTATCTGACTCTCAGAGGGTACTATAGTTTGAAAATCCATATTCAAGGTTACAGGAACTGACTGGTGGGGGTACGTGGATGATGACTTCTGCACAGGGACTGTCAGATGGGAGGGCACAGAAAGCAGTGAGGGAGTGAAACTGATTTCTCATAATGGACTATAAACAGACCTAAAGTGTTTCACTTACTTTATTATTGTTTGGTCATCTTTTTTAAAAACATTAAAAAACTTTTTTCTCTTTTTTTTAGGGGGGACAGGTAATTAGGTTTATTTTTTTATTTTAATGGAAGTACTGGGGATTGAACCCAGGACCTTGTGCGTGCTAAGCATGCGCTCTACCACTTACTTTAAAAATTGACTATTTAAATCTGTGATGGGCCCCTCTTTAAGGATTCAAAGTTTTAAATATCTAAAAATAAATTAAAATAAAATATAAATATTTATTAATTTTAATATTAAAATGTTATCAAAAATTAAAATATTCTGTATTCTTTTTCCTCATATGAGAGTAGATGGTGACATTTCTAGCCTTTTTCCCCCTCCCAGAACCTCAAGGGCACATAGGCTCATAGTTTATGTGATTTCTTTCTTCAATGTAAGCTCTTCCCTGGATATTCCAAGCAATTAGGATGAGAAATGAGAGAGACATAGACACTTCCTTCACAGGGAACACAGTGTCGGGGAGGTACTGCACAAAGAACCCACGGCACGAAACGGCAGGGAAGCACACAGGCTGTGAAAGGAAATTACAGGGCGGCGTGGGAGTCAGAGCTGCGCAGGAAGCCAGTCTGGGACCAGGCCTCCTCGGGAGGGACGCTCCAGCTGCAACCTGCACAGCAAGCGCGAGCTGCCCAGGCGAAGTGGGCCGGGAGCTAGGGGGAGGCGCGCTTCCAGGCGGGAGGGGGAGCAGCCCAGAGCTGAGCGGGCGAGGGGTGAGGGCGCTTTTCCGCCTGAGGCTGGTCTCTGGAGGCGGGGCCGAGGCTCCGCGTGCAAAGTCCTGAAAGAGGAAGCTGGATGTTGAGGGCGGTGGGAGACACTGAATGCCTTTAAGCAGAAGGGGCAGTTACAGTCTACGTAGAGGGAGTGTGCATTAAAACAGGAGATATACGCTGCGGTGCTTTACAAAAGTCATCTTATTTAATCATGATAATAACACTGCGATGGTAACAGTGTTCTTATCTCCACTTTACAGATGAGGAACCAGGGGCCCAGAAAGGTAAAAATCTCACCCATAATGACACAGCTAACAAATGAGAGAGCTGGGACTCCAACTCAGTCTGCTTCTGGAGTCTTTCTCTTAACCCTCATATTGTGCTGGGTTCACTTGTCAGGGATGGGACACGTGGTTTCTAGGTTAACAGTTAGATGCTGGCGCCATTTCTTGAGTGGAGGGCACTGAAGGAAGAGCAGGTTGTAATGGGAGCAGATGTTTTGGACAGAAGGAGCTGAGATGCCTGGGAGGTGATGCCAAGCAGACCTCAGACGTCTGAGTCCTGAAGACAGCGGTGTACCAGAGACATTTAGGGGATCTGGGGAGACTAGCTTGAAAGTGGAAGCAGACATCTTGGGACTGCTTGGGACCACATCCCAGAGCGTATGTAAAGAGTTCTGTCCTGAGAACTCTGGGGAGCCCCAACAAGTAAAGGCCTTGCTGGCAGCTGAGAAGGGATGACCAGAAGGAAGGGGGAAAACCAGGGGAGAGGATTCTAGGAAGTTTTAGGAAGAAGTATGTAGAGCATCAAAGGACACAAGAAAGTCAAGACAGACTCTGAAGTAGTGTTCATAGGATGCAGCAATGCAGAGGCCATCTGAGGACACGGTGGAAACACATTCCGTGGAGTGCGCTCATGGAAGGGAAAGGGGAGGAGGCAGGAACCCAACCACTGTGTGTTTAAAATGAGTGAGAAGTGAAGAGTGTTAAAAAAAAAAAAAAGAGTTCCAACTACAAGGAAGGGCAGGAGGGCGGGGGGAGGGTATAGCTCAGTGGTAGAGTGCATGCAGGAGGTCCTGGGTTCAAGCCCCAGTAAATCCTCCATTAAAAATTCTCCATTAAACAACAGGTTTCTTCTGGATAGCACACAGAACAATATTCAATATCTTGTAGTAACCTATAATGAAAAAGAATATGAAAAAGAACGTATGTATGTACATGTAGGACTGCAACATTATGCTGTACACCAGAAACTGACACCACAGTGTAAACTGACTGCACTTCAGTAAAAAGGAATGCCCCCTCCCCCCCAAAAAAGAACGGAGGAAAAAAAAATTCTCCATTTAAAAAAAAAACGAACTACAAGGAAGGGGAAGGTAACTATATGGTGACCTGGGGGCCAAAGGAGCTCTGAACTTTAAGTTTGGGGGTTTGTTTTATTCAGATGGGAGAGAAGAGAGTATGCTTAAGGGCTGAGGGGAGAGAGGCAGCTGAGAGCCCAAGGTGGCGGGTCAGCAGAGGGGAGGGACCGCCGATCCGTGGGACAGAGTCCTCCAGGTTGGACAGTGATGGGCACTCAACCACCACACAATCCAGGCTGGAAAGGAGCGCCTCTCACTGGATGGAGATGAGCCTAGTCACTCAGCAGCATGTCACTGGAGTCCGGTGTCCAACTTCCCCTGGAAGAATGCATTTCCCGCGACAAAAGTCCCCTTCACGGTGGAGCTTCCACAGTTTACCCCAGGGAAAAGTTTTATCCAAAGAAGCTTGGAAGCAGGCAATGATCCCTTTATACAAAGCGCATGACTGTAAAGTTGCTTCACCCCCCAAACAGCAGGACCAAATTTAGACATTAGGGAAGTTTAGAATCCTTTTTATCTCTTGAAAATGATATTAAAAGGGACATGCTTATTTAACTGTCCCTTTATGGCTCAAAAGCTATTACCTGAGAGAGGAATTACCAGCCTTTAATAATCCTTAGCAGACTCCAGATATTTTCATTGTCCCCCACAGCACCCCTGTAACGTGAAAGCATATGAGCCTTCAACAGTTCCAATCTGCAGAGGGCTGCCATACAAATGTCAACAGGCAGCCAGGGTCAAGGCTGTGAGAAGTCAGCCCCCACGAAACAGTCAAGCCTGGACAACGTGCGTGTGGATGTCACGTGTGTGTGTGTGAGTGTCTTTTTTTTTTTTTGAACTAATAGAGGGGCTAGGTCCTATCTTGCCCAGAGCAAGGGCTACAGAGATTGAATTCTGTTTTATTTCAGCTTGTTATCTGAGTGCCCTTTGAGTTTCTAGGCTGGGACCACACCAGCAATTCTCACCATTTTGTTCAGGAAATGAGGTGCGAACTCAGGACGTGGCCCACGGCCGGGGAGAGGGGCCCCTTTCCCATCCCCTCGCTCATCTCCATCACACAGGCACCAGGTATATAATTACCCTTCTTTGGCAGGGCGGGGCAGCAGGCCAACGTGCCCAGAAGACAGTTTACTCTCTCCAGACTGTAATCTTGCTAGAACTCCAGGGCCACGCCTCCGGTGGTGAGGAATGCGATCCCCACGGATGTTGCTTGAGTATTATTTGAGCTTCAAGACATCTGGGTGTTCACCCGGTTCAAATGCCTCGTGTTTTAAGTAATTGTGCTTATTAGTAGTAACAGAGCCAGGACTAGTGCCCACTCAGTTGGGGTAATTTTTCTCGTACTCATGGCCTAGACACACGACCTCACTTATAACCCCTTCTAAATACTTACTTCTCTGATATTTAACTCTGATAATGGCACCTGTGAAAACCACCAAGCCATCGAAAATTGCGAGCATAAATGGCTTGATTTCAAAAATTTTAGATTGTAAAAAAATAATAATTTAAAAAAATGCAAACACTGCTTGAATGTGCCAGGCGTTACACACTCGTTCCCACTCGGGCCTCCCCACAGTTCAGGGCTGTAAGGACCACTATGACCACCACTTTGCACGTAAGAAATGGAGGCTTTGAGGGGTTCCATGCCATGTCTGAGGCCACACCAATGGAAAGGGGCCGAGCTGGGACCGCGAAGCCCAGGCCCGGGCTCCATGCTGGATTCTGACGAAACAGCTCCAGCCCGAAGATCTTTAACGCTTCCTTTTGGACTTAATGCTGCTCGTTTTCTTCTGCTCCCAAGCTTTAAGGATCTTGAAACTAACTAGAGTGCGTTTCCTGTATAATAATATCACACTCTGGGCCAACGTGACAGTCGCTGAAGGATCAGATAATGCGGAGCCATAGTACTGTGAGTTAGAGGAACTGTCCTATGGATAAGGATTTTAAGTACTTAAGTGTCATTGGCAACAGCTGAGAAATGACTGCCATTCCCCAAGCACTCTGGCCTGAGACGGTCAGAGAGAGACAGAGGTCTTCTAAGAACATGGTTTAGGTGAAGTTAAAGTAAGTTCAGAAGAAAGGCGTCAAGTTCTCTTTGAAGACACAGCTACTATGGTGGTGGACACAGGTGAAAGCCAGAAGATTGTTACAAATCCTTTCAGACTTCTCTGGTCAGATTTTGAGATGAGCCATAAAGGACACTTAGTTTTGTTTTTTGGGGGGGTGGGGGGACAATTAGGTTTATTTACTTATTTATTTTTTAATGGAGGGACTGAGGATTGAACCCAGGACTTCGTGCATGCTAAGCATGGGTGCTACCACTGAGCTACACCTGTCCCCAAAAGGGTGAATTTTTAAAAGTATATATATTTTTATTTTTATGGAGGTAGTGGGGATTGAACCCAGAACCTTGCACCTGCTAAGCAGTCTTTACCACTGAGCTATACACACAACTTCTAGTCAGATTTTGGACTGAACCTATCCATGCACTATTGGGCCCTCCCAAACCAGATTCATATTCAAGGTATATGAAAA